CTTCGACGAAATAATTTCCATTGCAATACACTAACACAGAAGCGTATATATTCTTCATATTCTTCTTTACTACGATTTCGGTATTATTCTTCAGTTTCTCAAGATACTGTCTCACCGTCGACTGCAATTGTTCCTCCTGAGATTCCGTCCTTTCAACAAGCTTTTAACATCGATAAGCCCTTAGTGATCCTTCCACAGCCTACTCAACTTAAAGATGACGGGAAAATTCTTCCTCATGTTTTTTCGGAGAATCTTGCTGTGTTATATGCATGTCTAAAATTGGGTCAGATCGAACGTGCCAAACGAATTTTCGACTATTTAGAAAGTAAAGGCCCTATGGATATGAAACATCTCTTAGACGTCAATTTGCACAACGCATTTATCGAAGCTTTTCTGGATGCACCTGTTCCGGAACTTAATTTAGCATTCGCTTGGTTAGATAGGATGTGTGATAAATGCCACGTAAATCCTAATCTGATGACATTTGCCATCTTGGTGAAAGGATATTTGAGGTCAATGTCTTAACTTATCGTGTTACAAATTTTTGTACTCAGAATACGCGTTTTTCCCGCGTTTGACGTACATCTAATATTAAAGATTAAAATTTCTTGCTAATTATTATTAGAAAGAGCAAGGATTTTCAATGTACAACGATGCTTCAAGTTATTGTTTTCGAAATGGAAGATAAAGGTTTTCGATTTGAACAATTAATTGAAAGCAATTTATTATCTGATGATGACACCCATAAATTACTTGAGGTATATTTTGGAAATAATTCTTATTCCAGCAAATATTCTGTCTTATTCATTATATTCTTAACTTGGGCTACCTAGTTGTTAAATTCTGATAAAGAATCCAGTCTTTCAAAGCGACTTTTAAAACAGCTTGAAGATGAAACAACAACCCCTTTGACTAAAGAACCCATTCCAACAAAGGTATTAAAATAATTATTTCGCACTTTCTATATAGACTATTAGGGAGTTGACACTTATTACGTAAATATAACCCTCCTCAGAGTCAGTCATTTGACACAATTGCAAGTTCTAAAATAATAAATCGTTTGACAATTGCAAGCTTTAAAATAACCAATCATATAAAGTTTACGCTATGATTACTTTAGAACTTGTAATTGTCAAATGGCTCTGGAGGGGGGTTATATTTATGTACTAAGTGTCAGTTCCCTTAAAATCGATTATTAAAATTGATTATTAAAATTGATTATCTAATATAAAACCAATATGTCAGGCATTTGGTGTTAAACTTATGAAAAGTTCTCTTGAAGCTCT